GGATCGATAAGCGTGCGTGTATCGAGTCACACCGCGACACGACCGTCAGGATTTCGTTGTTTTCGAAACTCCTGGCGTAGTCGTCGTTCGGGCAGGGTGGTTCGTAAATCCGTCAACGCTCCCTTTCTCTCCCTTCCACTCTTTCCCTCCGAGAGTTTTTCGAAAAACGTCGCGAAGAATATGTCGTCCGGCATCCATTCTCCCTACGTGCCGTTACTATCGATTCCATCTAACTCGTTTCAACGAATCCCGAAAGTTTCGAGTCGATTTCGCCCGGCGACCGTCGCCGACTTTTCCGTCGTCGCCGGCGTCGTTGCGCTCGTTGCCTGTCTCCCTGTTCAGGGATTCGACGGGTGTGAACCGGCGAAAATGAGTCATCCCGCTGCACCGACACGACGCGCGACGCCGCGCCGTCGAGGGGAATGTGGAATCTACGGGCGATCAGATAGCCGAAACGAAGTTTCGCGTTTGACGAGGAACAGAGAAAAACGTGGCGTGGCATGATTTTTACGCTCCACGACCCGGTGCACACGGGAACGTTTATGGGAGATGATTTGCGTTCGAGGATCATTTTCGGATGAAATGCTGGGCGCATAGCGCGGGTTCTTTATACGCGTTTCGATCCGGGTCCCGATCGGACGATAATAAATGTCTTCGTCGTCATGAAGCTGACAATAAAATAAACTGCGGTAGCTGTTCTCGTTCGCTACGTTGTTTTGCATAATTTTTCTGTTCTGAATAAAATCGAAGTAATCTAATTTTTTCTACAGTTTATTTTTTATAAAAGTCATATTAAGAAGACGCGTATCTGTCATCCAGGCATCACATTTCTGGCACTGCTGTATGCAAACGAAAACAAAGATCAATTACAGTTGCTGTATCTTTCCACGTTATTTCGGGACTATTTGATGTTTACGCGCTCCGCCTGTGTAAACTCCATCTATGTACCTTTCCCTTTTAATAGAGAGCGGAAAAATGTTTTCCGTTCGCGCAGCTTTGAATTGCGAGTAACACTTTCGGGGCTTCGTCCGGAGCATCCACCGGCCGGACGAAGAAAAAACATTTTTATAGGGTCGGAGGACAATTTGGTTCGTTGTTGCAAAAATTCATGGGGCAGCCAGATTTCCGGCGAACGGAAATACGCCGGCTTGCGCGGTATCAATTTACCGAAACACGAGCTGCGCATATACGAACCGGTGTGCTCGTTTGAAAGATTGATTCGTCAAAAAGCCACTTTTTGGTTCAGTCCACGAGAATTTTCGAGATAGTTATTTTTGGTAAATTTATGCCGCAGGTGCAAAAATTCTTTCGTCCAGAACAACTGATGTACATATGTTTCATGATGTTATACATATTTCTACTTGCATATTTAGAACAACAAATCAGTAGCTATTTAATCAATACAAATGATTAAACAATCGATTGTACGAAAAATTATACAAAAGTTTTATTTCA